GTAGGAAAATTCATGCGCTGCTGCCACATGTCAAATTTTAATTTGATTGTTACACATTAGCAATAAATAGTAAAATAACAGTTAACATTTGGCATTAATTTGAAAGTAAGTTAAATGAAACAAGGACTTAGATGCAAAAAATCACACGCTTCCTTCCAAATTATCTTCCCAAAAAGCCGCTGCTTTCTATTCCTCCTCCATCTTCGTATCCCACGTATCCTTCGCTAATCTTTGAAAAATAAATGCAATTGAACCCAATTCTCAAGCGAAGAACGGATGCATCCCCTTCGCCAAAATGAGAAGGTGAACTTAGATTTTTATCGGCGCTGAGAAGACAATGATTTAGGGAGAGGTTGTGTGATTAAGGAAAGATGGAGAGAGATTTCTAAATTTGATCCCAACCGTAGGATGAGATCCAATAGCTTATATTGGTTAGCGCATGTTAACCTTTTGAGCTTCCCATCTAATAATATCATTACACACACTCTCTCACAGTGTGTTTGTGTGTGTGTCTACACACACATAAAAACGCACACACATGTATGTTTTTTAAATTTCTCTGTGAACTGAAACAAGTGCATAATTTGAATTATATCAAACGTATATCCTTTATCCAATAATATATTAAGTCTCATTAATTATGAATAGCACAAATCATTTAATTATCAATTCAAAGAAAATAGAATAATTAGAATAGATTAGGATAACAATGTAATATTCAAAAAAAAGTTAAGAACTATATTGATTATGGAAAGATTTCTCCGAACTCTTACTTTTAAATAGAGTATGATATGATATGATATATATATTGGTGAATGTGAGAAATTAATTAGCAAATAGTCAGATTTGAAGGATATATATGCAAATCGGATAGATGTGTGGTGTGTTAGACAAAATGCTCGTCAAAAATAACTTAATGTTTGTGTTAATCATATGAATGCTAGTACTAAATTGAACATGAGAACATTAGCATTGCAAGAAGACTTCCCTCCATCGTAATAATATATAATATATAATATATGAGATTAATGGGTATCATATGTCATATAAGAGTATACTCTTCATAT